AAACTCGAGTCATCTAAAAAAAATGATAAAACTAATTATTCTGTATAGGTTAGAATATTTTGTGCTCCCAACCTATTTGTACAATCCTACTTAAAGAAAGCCCCAGCTGGAACTTCTCTCAACCTTCAATTTTTTATTTGTTTTAATTTTCACACCAACACATTCACAACTTGTCTCCTCCTATTTATACACAAACCCCTCAAAATCCCAATTTCAGAAAACTCAATATAGTATCATCCACACTCAAAAACACCTGCAAAAATTCACCCAAATAATGCATCGATTGAGATTAATGCTTTGTTACTTTCTTCTATTCGTAATTTCAGCAAACGCAGGGGAATTTACAATTACAACATACCCAAGAAAAATGATGGTTGAAAGAGCCTTATTGATTGCAGATCCGCCAGCTGTAAAGTCGTCAATCGAAGATGAAAATGAAAATGAACCCTCTTATTCCATTGTTGAAGCTCCAGAAACAGAGCATCATCATTCTGACAAATCTGTTGCTGGTGGAGGGGTTATTATTGGTGGACTTGTAACTGCTATTTTTGCTACTGTTTATTGCTATATTAGAGTTACTAGAAAGAAATCAGATGCACCAGATCATTAGAAGTACAATTTTGTGAATAGTATTTAGCAAATACATACCAAAAAAAAGAATTTTGTTTCAGAAACTTTGGATATATATTATTTATTACATAAATTCAGCTTTCCTGTATGAATTAGAGTTGAATGGTTAGTGTTCGGAGTCTCAACTAAATTTGTATCGCACAATATTAGATCCATCCAGTAGAATTTTTCCACTTTTTTATCAAAGGATAAAACAGTTCGATCAATGTATTAGAACTATATTGGTGAACTTAATAGTTAATTATTCTCTTCTTCGTCCGATATTATTTGTCATGATTTCTATTTTTAGAGTTAAATTATAAAAATTTTAATTAATATTTTAATATGTATTTTTTTTATCATATTAATATGCAAAAAATTACAATTTATATAAAAATTCATATAATTTTACATATTTAATTTTTTTTATTTAAAATGTCAAATTAATATGATCTGATTTAACTCTAAAATTTAATCAAATTCTTTAAAACAAAAAAACGCAATATAACAAATAATACGGAAGTACTACTTAATGTAAATATAGTGTATTTTCGCGGACTGCGCCTTAATTTAAGTGAAGCTGTTAAACGACTGTCCAATGTTTTTCTTGTAGGAAAATTATTTTCTTTCTCCACTAATATATGTCTGTTATTTGTTGAAATTTATTATTTATTTTATTTTATTAAATTATATATAATAAAATTATATTAATTTAGTGTAAATAATTAATGAGAATAAAATTTTTTTCCCTCTTTTAATTTTCTCATTCTCATAGGAATTTATATGAAAAAATTTTACGTCTATATATTAAGATGATAGATATGTGCAAGTTCAAGTATCTAAATAACAAATAAAATAAAATCAATTCATTAAATTTAGGTAGGCTGAGTTGTAGGGGCCTAGTGAAGGAACAATGGAGAGAAGGAAATGAGAAAAATGGATACACTTACGCGTATTGCAATATTTGAGTTGTATTTATTCATTGAAAAATTATGTAATCAAGTGGCTTAAAATAAGTTAAACTTTTTTAATAAATTATTATTTAAATTTTTACAAAAAAAATCATTTTTTTAAATATGTGGATACTTCACTCTATTTTTATCAGATACATTATAACATTGCTTGTGTACAATCACTATAATTAAAATAACTTTTAACACCATTAAATATTAACATTAATAAATAGTGTTAAATTATTTATAGGTATTAGTTAAATGCCATTAGAATTAATATTGCTAAAGGTTTTTGAAACATATAAAAAGAGTGCTAATTGCCACTATAAATATGATCATCTTTTATAGAGTGAAAATGTTTAGTACAAATATATTTGTTCGAAAAATAATTTAATTAGCTCAAATTTAAATTTTTTAATATATATATATGTGTGTGTATATCGGGTGAAAGAAGTAATATATCTATAAAAAATTTTCAAAAAGATTATTATAATTTGAAATATCTCGGAATAAGATATAATTTGCGTCTAAATGGTTGGAGTTCATCTACTTTAATACTTTATTTATTGCTGCCGTTGCTGATGAAATATTTTGCAAGCCCCAATTAGATAAACGACCGACCTTGGTCAGAAAATCTCATTAAAATATATTTTCTTTGTTTCAAAAAAAAAATTATCTAATTTGATTAAGAATAGAGTTTAAGAAAATTGAAGATTTTTAATTTTATAGTTTTAAATTAAAGTTATGTTAAATATATTAAAATTTTCTTTAATTTTGTAATCTGAAACATGACACGTGGAAAGTTAAAGTTAAACTGTTACAAAAAAAAGAAAAACAATCATTTTTTAAACAAACTAAAAATGAAATAATGACATTCTTTTTTAAACAGAGGGAATACTATCTCCTTTCCATAAGTCACTCGTTTCTAAAAATAATTGGATCTTACAATAATATATGTTATTTTATAAAATTTATGCATAAAATATCATATTTTGCCATTATACCTTTATTGATTAATTAATTAATTAATTTTGATAATATATTTATTTTAACTAACCTTAAAAATCTGCAATTAATTAAATAAAAATATAAGAGTAAAATTATGGGACGAAGGGGTACTTTTTTTGGAACGTTGCAACACTAATCTTTCACGTCTCTTTTAATATAAAAAAATAAAAATGAAACGTTTTGCTATGTTATTATGAGGTAATATTAATTGGGAAATCTAACTGGACTCTATGTAGTAAATAATATTAATGAACGAACAATAAAGACCCCCAAAAGTTGGTATAATCTTTTTTTCCTTTCTAAGTCTACTAAAATATATCATCGTAAAATTATGCATGTATTTCAAAATAAATATAATTAGCGGTGCCATGGGTTGGGTGGTGTAACTTGTAAGACTGGGCACCAATTCGAAATGAAATGACCGGATCCAAATGAATCGATATTGAATCGGATCAGAATGATTTGATTAGATTATTGATCGATATTGGGTTGAACTAGACAAAGATTATCGAGATGCAAACTCGATTACATTCCATCCCATTATATATCGGGATAAAATCGGTAGGGATGGAAATGAGACTTAATGGAATAAATAGGACAACAAATAAAACTAATATATATATATATATATATATATATATATATATATATATATATATATATATATATAAAACAGAAAATAAAATATTTTGATAAACTTAAATCTTAACTACTTATGTCATTTAAAATTCAAAACTTAAATACTTATTAAATTTAGAAGAATAAAATTCATGCATATTTTCGTAATTCAAAATAAACTTATTGTATTTATTAGCTCTAAAAAACTAATGTGTATATATATATATATATTTTATTTTCTGTTATAAATCCATTTGAATAGTGTATTGTTCATTTGATTCTTCAAAAGTTGATTAAATTCATATATGTACAATTTCAAGGTAATATCAATCTTGGTGGATAACTATGTATAATTTCAAGGTAATCTTTGAGTATGATACTTTAACACTATAACATTTGGATGATACACTTTGTTCTGAGATTGATTTTATAACATTTTTTAAGTTTTTAAATATAAGTATGTTTTAAAGATTTTTTTTTAATGAACTTTTCAAGTTACTAAATTTGTAAGTTAAGTTTATTAAAGTTATTATTTTTCTGTTTTTGAATTTATGCGATAAGTTTTTAAGATTTCAAATTTTGAAGTTTATGTTAAAAGTTTGAAGTGAACTTGTAATTTAAGATGAAAAATATCAAAAATGATGGGAGCCAAAGAGAAAGGTTACAGGAGATTAGCTCATTAATTTCGAACAGTAATCTCAACCATAATACCCCTATTTTTGTGCCTAAGAATAGTGAAAAAAATTCAACTCTAATGGATACTTCAATTGATTGCAGTCAGCATCATAAAGGGTATTTGAGGACAACCAATGGGATAATGTACGAGTATTCACTTAATCTATGTCCAAAATCTCAGAGACATATTTATACTATACTAAAGTCATATTATCCTCATGAACTTATTTTATTAATAATTTTCTACCTCTTTTGGGCCTACGTGGCACAATCTTATGGGTCCAACGCTGGTTGACTTTTGTTTCCTAAACTAATACCACGTAGGTCGAAAAGGATAAAAATTACATATAAAATATGTTCAGGGGTAATAGGACCTTAGTATAGTATAAGTGAGTCTCTGGAATTTCGAGCATAAATTGAAGGAATACTTGTGCATTTTCACACAATCAATTGATGAATTCACCAAGGCACTAGATCAAGGGGATTTGGAACCATAAGAAAATGTGATCTCACACACACACAAAAAAAAATAGTTTCTGTTTGGATTGACCTATTTTAGATGCTTTTAAGTCAAAATAACTTTTAAACAACTTTGAAATGTTTGACTAAAGTTAAAAAGTGTTTACAAACACTTATTTTAAAGCCAAAATAATAAAAATAAATCAAAAGTCATAAATTAAAAATCGTAACTTATAGCTTTTGACTTATAAGTCATAAGCTAAAAGTCAATCCAAACAAACTCTAAGTTAGCCCCTACCATAAGGACTTAGTTCAACTAACACTTATGCTATTGATTCTGGGAGAGGAATTTTTTCGACGGAGATGAGGAACAAATAAGTGAAAGCAACAAAAACAAAAACAATACACATGAAAAACAACATAGTTCGTATGGTAAAGTGACCTAAAAAAATTTGTTTCAAGGAATGAACTAATAAGACCGACAAAACAAAATCATATGACAAAGTCAATAACTTAATCTAGATACAATAAATTCAAAAGAAATGATGAACTAAGTACTAATTAGAACACACGATGAAAATAGTTCACATTAGTTGAGAGTGAATACCAAATTTTTAAAGTTTGTAAATGGAAGTTTGAGTTTGAAAACTCAAACTTTCTTTTTGCTTTTTATGTTTTTTTTTAAAAAAAAAAATTAAGCATCGTCACTCGTGATATTATTTTTTTCATGTTTGTTACTCACACTTATTCCTGAGTTTTTTATTTTTATTTTTAATAAAACGCCACAAGACCTTTAAAGAACTCCTTCTTCGTCTTCACAAAATACAGAGCAAACAGAAGAAAATTCATTTCAAGTATGGCTAGTTCTGGATGTCATGCTCTGTTTTTGGTACTCCTCTCCATAGTTCTTGCTTACACAGCAATCAAATCCACCATTCATTCTAAATCAACTGTCAATTACTCAAATTCACCTCAACAATTCAACAAACATGCCCTCACCATGAAAGCTTCTAAAGCTCTTAGAAATCAAGGATTCAACATTATAGCTACTCTACTTCAACTCTCTCCTGAGATTTTCCTATCAACTCCACAATCCACCATCTTCGCAATTCAAGATTCCGCCATTTCCAGGCTCTCTGTTCCTTCTTGGGCAATGAAGCAGCTCCTTCATTACCATATTTCTCCTACAAAAATCCCATTTCAACAACTTTTGAATAAGTCCCAAGGTTGTTGCTTGACGACCCTTTTATCTCAGAAGAAAATTGCCGTCACCAGAATTGATAAAAAACAGAGCATCATCGAGATCAACAATGTCTCTGTTTCTCATCCTGGTGTGTTTCTTGAAGGAAATCTTTCGATTCATGGAGTTAGTGGGGCCTTCTCTGTGTTAGATTTTCATGGAATCGACGAACATATAGACGTTATTCAATCACCAATTTGTGATGAAATGCCAAACGGAAGTGTTACCGGTACCAAGAACTTGGTTAATTGGCCGAGAATCATCAACTGGCTCAGCTCCAATGGATATGCCTCCTTTGCAATTGAATTGCATTCTGTTCTTGATGGGGTTCTTCAAGATTCTGCAAATTTAAGCTTTGTAACAATCTTTGCTCCTCCACATTTGGGATTTTTATCATCTCCTTCACCATTGCTTGAAAGAATCGTAAAGCTTCATATAATGCCCCAGAGATACACTTTCATGGAATTATCTTTCTTGCCGGACATATCATCCCTCAAAACACTGGCTCCAGCCCTGAATGTCACCATTTCTAAGAGCAATTTCTCGCGCGTTTTGATCATTGATGGTGTGGAGATCACAGCACCAGATATTTTCGTGTCTAAGACGTTCGTCATCCATGGAATATCTCGCCCTTTTCACTTGGAGGAGCTATCCATTTCATTCAGATGATAAGCATTTCTGTTACATGTATCTTAAATATGCAAGCAAAGTTGATAAACACCATGTTACATACATGTTAATTTCTAGCTTGCTAGTTCTATCGTACTTATTTCTATGTTGCTCGGACTCTCCAAAAAGATAGCACACCTGTGTAAGATACTCTAGAAATACACTACGTTTGGAGGATCAAACATGCCCCCATCGATATTTATTAAAAGTCCGAGCATCACAACTCTATATCAATTTGATTTTTGCTCTTGGTGAACTTCCAATAGATATTTAAGATCCCATCATTCACAATCACATACAATACCATACAAACTTGTTCGTTACATGAAAACAATATTCGAAATAAAAACTCAACAAACATACAGAATATCAAATAAGTCATCAGTGCATGTCATCAAATTCTCCTTCATTACCTCCTTCGTGGCACGAAATAACGTCTTGATCTTCCTTGTTTTCCTCCTCTTCATCTGGCTTTGTCCAATATCCTAAACCCTCAACGTTACATCTGAAGTTTTTCAGCGAATTGCAGTGGCTGACTTCCAAGTATTTGAGAGATGGCATTGCATTTTGGAATGTCTCCCATGTTTCCTCCAGCCTTGGCAAGAATTTTAAGCACAGTCCTTCAACATTCCACTTATCCTCATTATCTCCCCAAAAATTTTCACTCATGCGGTTAAATACTCGTGAATCTTCGATGCAAAGGTACTGCAGTTGGGGAAGTGAAATGGGGTTTATCCATGCTGGTGTTGTTTCTTTGAGGTAGTGCCTTAGATATAACTCTTCAACGCGTGTTGGTGGTGACAAGTTATCCAGCTTCCTTATGATGTCCTTGTTTTCACAGTCCCCTGCATTGATCGATAACACCCTTAGTAGTTCAAGTTGTTTCAATGCAGCCAATTCCTTGTCATCTATCATGCTTTCCTCTGTTATGTCTAAGTGCAGTACCCGAAGTTGAGTCAGTGCCACGACTTCACTCAGGCGACAAGCTTCTGTTGTTGCTGGACTCGGTAACTTGAACCCGTACAGCTCTTCAAGATTGGCAAGCCTAGAGAGACCTTGTGGTAAGCATGACAAGGATGGACAGCTTCCAACATCAAGAATTGCCAATCTTGGAAGTGTTGTGATTGATGTTGGTAGCTTTTTTAAGTCTTTGCATTCTCTAAGGACTAGTATTTGGAGGCCCCATAGCTTCCTTACGGAGTTTGGAATCTCGTCCAAATTTGCAACATTTCTCAGATTTAAATAAGCTAGTCGCTTTAGTGATGTGATCCATTGCCATAGATCAACCAAACAGATTTTATCTAGCTTGACACATGACAAGTCCAAGACCCTGAGAGTCTTGATTTCAGCCAGAGCGATTTTCCTGTTGAAGCCGATGTAATTTGTTGTAGTGAGAAGAAGTGCTCTTAGCTTTGTGTTCCCATATAAGGACTGAAAAGTTGTTTCCCTTGTGACCCCCAAATGCCTAGAGTTAACCGTGGCTATGTGCCTCCCTCGATTGAAGCAACAAAATTTCTCGTCTTCTGCAACGAGAATTGTCATGTCCCTAACCATATCATGCATCTTGCAACTATAAACTTTGCCATCAAAGCTTCTTCTTTGCACAGCTTCAACCAAGCACCGACTTACGAGTTCAGACAAATGACCAAAAGCTACATCTGTTGCAGTTTCTGTGCCATCGCCACGGACTAATCCTTCCCCTACCCACCAACGAACCAATTGTTCCGCCTCAATTTCATGGTCATCTGGATAGATTGAGAAGCATAACATACACTGCTTTAAATGAGCAGGAAGCTCATCATAACTTAGTTGCAAAGAAGCCATTACCGAGATATTGCTTTCACTATCGGATACCAATTTCTCTCGAAAGTTGTCACATATCCTTGTCCACTCCCCGAGTGAATGTGGTTTTGATGATAACATCCCACCTGTGGTCTTGATGGCTAGAGGAAGACCATGACATTTACGCACAATCTCTCTTCCAACTTCTTCCAATTGAGCATTGCACTTCCCTTTAGTTGACAAAAATGCAAATTTACAGAACAATGACCAACTCTCTTCATCATCGAGCAATCTTGGTCGATGAATTCTTGATTCTGTAGCTCCCATTCTCTTGACAACATCATCATTTCTTGATGTAATTATAATACAACAATTGTGCTCTACAAACTTTGGTAATCCCCTTGAGATTCTATCCCACCATCCATCATCAATACTCCATACATCATCCAAAACAATCAAGTATGACTTATGTGAAAGTGCTTCAAGAATTCTGTTAAGCAAATCTCCTTTGTCAGTTCCGCTATCGTCTCCATTCAACTGTTTCAAAATACCCTTCATGATGAGAAGCTCATCATAAGTTTGAGATACAGAAACCCAAACTTTCTTTTGAAATCTCACGTTCACTTGTCTGTCATGGTACACCTTTTGCGCGATTGTGGTTTTACCCAAACCGCCCATACCTACAATGCCAACGCGATGTGATGAATCGCTATGAGAAAAGATCCATTCTTTGATCTTTCTTGTGTCTTCTGATAACCCCACAATTTCAGATTGATCAAAAATGTGTGAGGTCCATCTTATCCTTCTCCTACTGATGTTTTCGTCACCTCGTGTTTGTTCTGTTATTGGACCAACAAAGGTCCTCAGCTTCTTATGCATTTTCACTATCTTCTTGTTAAGTCCTGTCAGTTTCTTTCCAGTTATGTATCTGAAAGATATCTCCTTTGGAGACGGAAGCAAGCAAGATGGATTCCCTTTCATACTTAGATAGTCTTCGCGGATTTGGCAATCCGTGACCACATTATCTGCTTCATAAATCAGCTCTTGAAGTTCAGATAAGGTTGTCTTGACAAGCTTACTGTTTCCTTTCAGCCTGTTTGCTTCAGTGAGATACGAACGCATGAGATTCAGCTCTTTCTTCATCACCTCAAACTCACTTTCGAATTGTATTGCATACTGAGCATGCACATTCACTTCCTTTGACAAGTCCTTTACGATGAGCTCGACTACAGCTTCCATGATTGCATCTCCCATCTCTTAGCTGCAAATATATCAAAATTGAACATGTAACGAGTGAGCCCTCATAGATGATATACTAAAGGGGGCACAAAATAAGAGTCATGCATGCTACAACAGGTTTTAGAGACATTTATAAAGAGTGCTGCTAAAAATATATATTTAGTGACAATTAAGATACGATCGTTAATTAATTGCTGCTAAAGATCATTTTTGTATAGTGGCACTTGGATGAAATATTGAAAGGTTTTCGGATCAAAGTTTTAGCAAGAATGACACTGGAACTGATTTCTTAGATAGTCACCCAACTAAGAAAGGTGAATTTATGATATAATTATACGTTCCTTGGTTGAATGACCATATGCGAAATCAACTATAGTCACCTCACCGTATTATGGGACTGAACATGTTTAGGAAGTAAGGGAAAATTAATGGTTGAGAAAACTAAATTTATAATAAAGATGTTCTGTAGAATGTAATTTGAAAAAAAATTAGTAAAGGTCTGCTGGTGAGATAATATAACCAAATCAAAGCCTATTGATTTTTTTTTTCAAAAAAAAAAGAAAAAGTGCAATTGCTTCTTCAAGAAAACTATGTAACCTTGTAGTTTTGATGTTTAATACTCCCGTTGTTTTAATTTATTTGTCTTATATTCATTTATAGTCCTTTTTTTTTACGAGTCTTTAATTTTAAATTTTCATACAACATGTTGAAAACTATAAGATTAAACAATATTTTGATACATTTGATATGATATCGTTAGTTTTAAGTCTTCAAAATAACAAGATTCAAAAGTTGTTTTCAATTTATTTGTCTTATATTCATTTATAGTCCCTTTTTTTTTACGACTCTTTAATTTCAATTTTTCATACAATATGTTTAAGACTACAAGATTAAACGATGTTTTGATACATTTGACATGAGTTTAAGTCTTCAAAACAACAAGATTCAAAAGTTATTTTCAATTTATTAAACATTTAAAATCAGACAAACTAACAGAAACAGAGGAAGTATATTGTAACTTTTCAAGAATAGTCTCAAGATTTCTAACCTCTCAATGCAATTTTGTCCAGAAATCCTGGCAGTATCTCTGCAAAGCTCTTCAACACCTAATAACAAGTCATGAATTCAAATAAAGAATGAAAAATGGAACAGTGAACAGAGATACATATAAAGAATGTAACTCTTTAGGGGAACTAAGTAGATAAAAATTTAAAAAATACTATGACATGTTTTGCATCTACTATTGGCATATGTATAATATCATAAGCTCTTTAATAGTTAGTATGATTTAATAAAAATATAATATAAACATGTTTTGCATCTACTATTGGCATATGTATAGTATCATAAGCTCTTTAATAGTTAGTATGATTTAACAAAAATATAATATAAACATGTTTTGCATCTACTATTGGCATATGTATAATATCATATGCTCTTTAATAGTTAGTATGATTTAATAACAATATAATATAAAGTATAACAATAACGATAAAATCCGTATAATATCGCGAGTGTGATCTGATTGTACGTAGTCTTACACTCTTATCCCTATCTTAAGCATATAAAAAGTCAAGTATGTAAAACATATTAAATACAACGATGAAGAGGTCATATTGAGAAAAATTAATAAGAGAACAAGTAGAAATAAGAAATAATCGAAACAAAGAAAACAACATGTATTACTAAAATCGAAGAAAAGTATGGCATGTTAATTAAACAGCAAAATTAAAATAATCTGAAATAATGAAGCATATATATATTATATGTATTATAATAAGGATGGATAAAGGAATATTTTTACCTAAAATTAGTGATTACAAGTGTAGAGTTGAGAAGAAAAAGAGAGGTTGTGTTTCTTTAAACTTGGGAAGTGCCTATTTATTAAAAAAGGGAGAAAAACTATAACAAAAAAAAGAACCTTTTCTCCTTCAATGTACCAAAAATGATAAATGGAAAGTAGGAGATTCGATTTTGTTTGTGGTCATTAGCAATGCAATTTAGTTATACCACTTTTTTAATTGGCTAAATAAAACACATAAAGAGTTTTATAAGATTCTATTTTTTTATTCCAATGTACAATATTCTATCGATATAGTCCGATTAGTGTTGGAGACGACTAGAAATTTCTCCACACTGTTAAATCTTTTATCTTATTTTCATTTCATATTTAATAATCTTCTGTGGTATTCTTAGTTCCTTAAAGTTTTGTT